AGTCCCTTTTAGAAACTCTAGAATTACCTTGACGCGATTGTAGTGATCGATAGCAAGAGTTCCGTTGCCGCCATCGGCTACTTTACCTGTCATTATAATTAGCCAAGAATATTACTATTTGAGTAAAATAAAGAATTTTTTTTTTGTGCTTATTTATAGATAGTATTTAATTCGTATGTTTTTTGTGTGCACAAAAAAATATAAAAAATATTATAATAATAATAATAATAATAATAATAATGGACCAACCAGGCCGCATAAGGCTCCAATCATCCCAGTTACAAATTCCCCTGCGATCCTTATCATAAGCTCCTTCCACCTAAAAATATAGGCAAACAAAATTACTCCATTGCTCCTAATAATAATTTACATTCCTCTGATGAATAGTTAAAGACATCCTTTTTGATCTTTTTTCGTAACAAAACAAAAATCATTTCTAGCCATTTCTGGATGAATAATGCTCATCTGTCCTCAATGTCAACTGGTAATTTCATAACCATTGACCGAATATGAAATAGTCAATCCGTAAATAAGATGTGTTTAAAATATTCCAACAAAAAAAAAAAGTCATTTTACTTTTAAATGTAATTAGTGCACAACTTACTTTACCAACAATATATTAATCTAATCAGAGCAAATGTTACCTTGTTAGATGCTATTAAATTTTCCTGTTTGGCATAAACAAAGTCTTGAAATTTTGCATAGATACCTGATAAGAAGAAGTAGCCCCACCAAAGAGAAAGCCTTCCGGGAAGTCATGGCGTGTAAGGTCTTTGCCGTAGTTGTAAGGCACGGGGTCGCCGGGAGCCCACTTTTCGACATTGGTCGCCATTTGGAAATGAAGTTGATAATATATCTGTTAAAGAGGAAGCTAAAGAGTTTTGGATAATTGGCGACTTTCTAACGTTGGAAACCACTTATTTATAGGACAATTGGCAATGGAGTGTATGAAATTTCTATTCACTTTCGTCCCCACGGCAGCTAATTAATTGAAAATACATGGTAAGATATTTATTTTTCAATTTCAAGTGGTCCTACTAGTAAAGATAGATAAGCGAAACATCTTAGGGCATCCGCATTTGTTAATTTTTTTTCTATTCATTCAATCAAAAAAGTACACTATCTCTCTTACACATCATTTCCACATCACCTTTCCACTAATTCTCTCTCCATTTAAATACACACCCACATCCCTACACATTCATTTAAATACAAAAAAAATAATAAAAAAATAAAAGAGGCTAAAAAATAGCCGTTGAACAAAAAAAGGCAAAAAGTACCAAATAAAAATAAAAAATGGTGAAAGAGCCATTAAGCTTCTTGAATAATATTCTTAGGCCCACAAATTAATTAATGTGTGCATTGGTTTAATGGGGTGCAATGCATTTAAATGGTCCAAAATAATGCACCAATGCAGGTGCTCTTATACGGCCGCAGCCGTCAAACCTCCGTCAACTCTCCCGTTAGAAACTAATAGCCGCCGTCAAACCGCCATCGATATCGCTGGAAAAGTTAAAGTGGAAAATTCACCAAAAGAAAAAATGCAGAAAATAACGTTTTATAATTAATTGGTTATTGTACTCGATTAAAACAAGAACAAAATAAGAGTTCATTCATCAAATTTAGACAATTGATTTACCGATCGCTTGTTGAAATCTCCCTTGACTGTCAATGCGAAAAAAGAGCTGTCCTTCGCACCTCGTTTTATGAATGAACTCTTATTTTGAAGCTCCTACAAGTACAAGAACACAGTCCACTGCTCAAACTGTCAATGCGGAAAAAAACATCACTTTCTTCAATTTCATTCCTAAATTACATGAAAAAGAGCCCGACCAATTTCATTTCCAAATCACAGAGTTGAGCAGTGGATGTGTTCTTGTACTAGTAGGAGCTTCAAAATATTTGCCTATGAATGTTGGTTTGTTGTTTTGTCACTTGTTTTATGTAATCCCATGACTTGGATGTTGTCTTGTTCGTAATTTATATACAGATTTGAACAGTGACTTGTGTTCTTGTTCTTGTTTGATGCTATAAAATATTGTTCTTGTTCATGTGGATGGTTTAAAATGTTGCTCTTGATTTCTGAGAATGGTGAATGTTGTTTTAATTTGCTTACAACAGATCAAAGAAAATGTACTCATAGACAATGTATATGAAAATTGATCCAACACAATGTACTCATATACAACTGATTAAACAATCATGTTTATCTGAATGTGTATGACATTGTTTTGAATGGAAAAAATAAACTCTTTGCTAAACTCATGTCCAAGTGTTATTACTTTTATGATCAAAGACAATATACTCAGTAGATCATATACAATGTACACACTTCTCCCAAATGTCCATCATCATAATAGCCAAACATCACAATGTCCAACATTCTAAGAAAAAATAGACACAAAAATAGCATAACTCAGTCATAATAGCATAATAGCATAACCTCATGTCCAAACATTCACAGTTTTGGGGCCAAAAACTTCATAATAACATCTATACTTATATTAAAGGTAATCCTATTTACCAAATTTAGTAGCTAGAAAAGTCAACAGCATTTATTGCCATTACTATTTCCATATTATACAGTTTTATATAATATTTATTTTTCTGTTACGATTTTTAAAAACAGATATAGTCAAATTCTCTCATCATTAATTACTTTCCATTAATTATAATTTATTTATTTATTATTTTCTTAGCAAAAACGGACCAACATTAATTGATTTTCTTAAAATATGGAAGTTATTGCTTTATTTTTGTACAAAAAATCGGGCTTCATTATATAAATTTGTTCAATTACACAATGATTTGCTATGATATAATTATTTTTTATGGGAATTTTTTTTTTAACAGAAAAATAGGCATTTCAATAAGATTTTTGATTTTTTAAGACTGATTGTTATCATGCTATGAAATTGAACATTCTAATATACCTTAACAAAATATACACGTGGTGTATACATCAGTTAATAGAAATATAGAATCCTCATATTTTTATATATATGTATGTAATTTTTCTATTACCAAATTTAATTGATAGTTGTTGTGTTATGGGTTTTTTTCATAATTGTTACTTGGTTGTTGTGATATTTAGTTTGGTTGGTGTAGCAAAAATTTTAATCTATATATATATAAGAATAATCATTACAATACAAATTAGAAAAATATTGATACTAGAAGAGATTGAGTTCATGACTTTTCTTAAATCAAAGTTGTTTAATTAGTATACAAAATTAAATTCCAAAAAAATATATGTGTATATTTTGTACATTATTTATACACTATTTAATTTTAAATTTATTTACATATTTTAAATTTATTACTTATATAAATAATACCAACGTGCATTAAATATATTTCATTACATAAAATAAAAAGAACAAGAAGACGTGCAGCTTGTATAACTTTATAAATAATAATGACATTATATGGCAACAGAGTTTAATAATTAACTATTATATAGTGAATAACAATAAGTAAAATTGTTATTTTCTCTTATATCAAGGAATAAATATATATAATAAAATTAAATTTATATTAGTATAAATGTGTTATTGAGATAATATACTAATTATTTTACAAGTTAGCCCTAACATGCTCACGTTTAATGTTCTGACTAATAAAACAATGTTGATTAAAAGATGTGAAAAATAGATTACAACCCTATTTTTTTAGACTTAACGGTGATTAAAAGAGGTAGAAAATAGATGATAACTCTTTCCAGACTTAAACGAGACTTAACGGTGATTAAAATAGGTGGAAAATGGATAATAACCCTTCTCAGACTTAAACGGACAGAGCCTGTGAAAATAATTCATTTAATATCTCTATCCCGTGAATCGCACGGGGTACGTACTAGTTATACCATAATAAACAACAAATGTTCCCAAAAAACAAACTTCATAAACATCATAAACTTTTTATGATTGAGTACTGTTCAAATACACGTGTCAAAGTGAATATAACTTTTTACGATTGAGTACTGCTCAAATGCACGTGTCAAAAACTCGACGTGAATTTACGAAGGTTTAAAAAATCGGATCTGAGTCGGTCCAACCAGTTGAAGCGTGAATCGGACAGTTCAACGGCCCAGTTTGTTGGAATGGATCAATTGCGTGTGAGCCGGTTAAAAAGTGGTCAATAACAGGTTGAGCCAGTCATAATCGAGAAAAACCAGCCAAAACCAATTGTTTCAGCCGCTCAATTTGTTGGAATGGACCAATTGCATGTGAGCCAGTTAAAAAGTGGTCAATAACAGGTTGACCCGGTCAAAATCAAGAAAAATTGGCCAAAAACCAATTGTTTCAGCTGCTCAATTCTATTGAAGAGAAAATAGATTCTAACACATTTATAAAGCACATTCTTATTATCTTAACCGATGTAGGACAAGCATGTAGCAAACCTTTTCTACTGTTGAGCCGCGCATGGACCGCCTTGTCGAGAAATTTTATGTTTCATTATTTTTTTTTCTTATTAGTTTATTGCTTAAATCTAGGTAAACCATCTCACAACATTTATTATGTTAGTATCTATGACTATAAATGATGAAGAAGTAAATCATCTGCGAATAGCAAATAAGGGATTTTCACACGGCCGCGTCCTACCGTCATTGGTTTCCACTTTCCGTCCGACGAGAGTGCGTTGGCGTTCCTCGACAGACATGATCGTCTCCGACCCCTTATTTGATCACCATTCTATTTATCATTATTATTTATGATTATTCTTATTTAGTTATTATTGGACTTGTGTTTAATGCGCTTTTAGTTATTCTTTATATATTATTCCTCGATGAGATACGTCTCTCGCTTGCTACCATGATTCGGGATGTGTAGACGAACCGTGATTCTGTCGGAGACCGAAGCGGTCGCGGGGGTCAAAGAGGCAGCCGTGGCGGACGAGGGTTTGGCGGGGCACCCCGACAACCATCCCCATAGCCTCTTTTCGGCGAAAACGACAGTGACGGCTCGCTGTCGGACGGCAACCCATTTGTCGAGGGTTTCGAACACGCTGACCACACAGCCCGACGCGACGGAGGCTAGAAAACTCGCTACCAGCAGAGGCAGGAGGAGGTTTTCGGTACCCTCTGTCACCCACGCGACGTGCAGCGGGAGAATTTCGAGAGGGCTGATGTGCAGAGATTACAGACTGCAAGTCGACAGAGGGCTGAGGAGGCGGATACCTACCAGGACCGCGATGGTCGTCGCTGGAGCGGGGATTTCGAGGGCGGCCGAGGCCCCCCGTTCAGGCCCAGATATGGGGCTACAGCAGTGGTGAGCGAAAGCCGATGGGAATCGGCGTTTGGAGTAGACATTCCAGATTTTGCAGGAGGAATGGATGCGTGCGAATTTCTCAATTGGCTAGCCGCAGTCGAGACAGCTGTCGAATTCAAAGGTCTACCAGATGAGAGACGGGTCGCGCTTGTGGCAACCCGGCTTCGTGGACGCACGGCCGCTTGGTGGTTACAAGTACAGGGCGTAAGGCAAGGGAAGGCTAAAATCACTTCATGGTACAAATTCTGTAAGTACCTCGAACGTGAGTTTCTGCCGTTTAATTTTGTCAGGACACTTTATCAGAAATTGCAGAACCTTCGCCAAGGCCAGCGCAGTGTTGATGAGTATACTGAGGAGTTCTACAAACTTCTCGCGAGGGTGGACATTCGGGAGACGCCGGAACAGCTTGTTTCTCGGTATGTTGGTGGACTTCATCTCTCCATTCAAGACATTTTGAACATGTTCACTCCGGACTCTGTTTCTGAGGCACATCAGCGGGCATTGTTGGTTGAGCAGCAGCAAGCTCGTCGACTGGCTTCCACTTTTTCTTCTTCATGGCCTC